CCCCCCGAGGCCCCTGCGCGGCTCCGCGGGTTCGGCGCGGGGGCGGAGGGGGCGTGGCCGGAAAAAACAACGCCCACAACCAAACCACGCCCTAAGCACCACCCACAATCCGCCGGGTTTGTGGGCGTGGCCAAATTAAAACCCCGCCCATGTGGGCGGGGCCAAGCACACCCACACACCCCCCTCCAAGGTACCGATTTTGAGGGGATGGAGGTGTAAAGAAGGGCCCGGAGCCATCTGGCTCCTTAAAGGGATCTGGCCCTTTAAGGGTGTGCGTGGGGAGGTCTTATGAGGTGTGTGGCCCTTTAAGACACGGGGGGGGGGGGGTGTCTTTTAAAGCGGTCTGGCCCTTTAAGGAGCCTAAAGAGTTCTCAGAACCGCCTCAGGCCGCCTTAGGATGGGGATGAAATGATGATTAAAGCGCTCTGGACCTTTAACGGAGGGGTGGTCCCTGAAAGGTGTTTTGAAGGAGGCCTGGCCCTTTACGGGGGGATGAAACCCAGCGAAGGGGGGAGTTTAAAAGAGCTCTGTCCCTTTAAGTCTCTCGGCCCTCAGCAGTCGCTCTTAAAAGGGGCTGAGTCCCTCGCACAGCCCTGTACCGGCTCTGGTGGGACCCATTCGGCATCGCCACTTTAAAACCCCGGGGACTCACGGGTTCACTTCCGGCAGAACTTAGGGTCACTTCCGTGGAGGCGGGGCAAAATGGCGGCGGGGCCTGAGGGGGTCCCGGGGGTCTGCGGGAGCGAGAAGGAGTCAGAGACCCCCGGGACCCCCCCGGGCTCCCTCACGGAGCTGCCGCGGGTGCGGCGGCAGCGCGGGCGGTTCCTGGTTTGGGCTCCGGGGGCGGCGCGGACGCTGCGGGAGCGGCACCGCGTGTGGGGGGCGCTGGTCGGGACCCCCCCGCGGCGGGGCCGCGTGGGGACGGCGGGGCCGCGGCTGCCGCTGGAGCTGAGGCCGGAGGAGGCGCGGGCGCTGCGGGAGAGCGGCGGAGCCACCGTGGAGGCGGTACCGGGGGGACGGGCACATTGACAGGGTGGGGGAGGGGGGAATTGCGGGTGGGGGCGGCACCGAGACCCCCCCTCCTGAGCCGCCCCTCCCCCCTCCCAGGTAAACGAGGCTGAAGCGGAGCCCGAGGACACCCCGCCAGGTGGGGGAGGGGCGGGTGGGGGGTCAGACCCTCACTGACCCCTCCCCTCCCCCTTCCTCAGAGACGCCCCGCCCCTCCCCCCCCACCGAGCGGCGCTTCCGCGTGTTCCGGGAGCTGTGGGGGAGTGGCCTGCACCTGACCCCGGGCGGGAAATTCGGCGGCGACTTCCTGGTGTACCCCGGTAAGGGGGAGGGGAAAATGGAGGGACGGTTCCTCCCTGGGTACCCAGAGCCCTCCGCATCATTTCTGGATCTCCCCTCTCCCCAAACACCCTCCCCAGGTATTCCTGACCCCCTCCCAGGGCTCCCCGCCCCCTCCCCACTATTCCTGACCCTCCCCCAGGGGCCCCTGACACCCCTTCATGGGTCCCAGCCCCCTCCTCATTATTCCTTTCACCCCCCTCAGTTTCCCATCCCCTTCTTCACCCTGTCCAACCCCTCTCGAGGCTCCCAGCCCCGTCTCCGTTATTCCATCCCCCTCCCCACCATTTCCAACTCTCGCCATTTTTCCCCAGGCCCCCCCTCGCTGTTCCACGCAGGCGCAGTGGCGCTGTGTCCCCGCACTTCCGCCCCGCAGCCGCTGGGGGCGCTGCTGGCGGCCGCGCGCCTCGGCACGAGCGTGCGCAAATCGCTGCTGCTGTGCGCCGCGCCGCCAGGGGGCGCGCTGGCCTGCACCGCCCTCACGTGGCGCGCCGACCTCACGTGACCCCCCCCACCACGTGAGGCTCTTCTCCCGCGCTTTTTTTAACTCCCCTCTCGTCACGTGAGTGCGCGCGCTGTTCCTCCTCCCCGTCACGTGACCCTTTCCCCGCGCCGTTCTTCCTCCCTCGTCACGTGATGCCGCGCGCGAGGCTTTTCCCGCGCATTTACTCCTCGAAATAAAAAAGTTTGTTTTTTCTATTTTAACGATAAAAATAAAGCTGATTTTTGTTGTTAAGTCTCGCTTGGGGGTGTCAGCGTTGCGCTGTGGGGAAGGGGGGGGGGGGGGAATTGGGGGGGGCAAAGAGACCCCCCCCTGAATTTGGGGATAGGAGCCCTGGAATGGAGGGAAATCGGAATTTTGGGGGCAGTGGGGGTGAGCTGAGCCTGATATTTTTGGGGGTTTCGGAGACCCTTGAAATGTGGGGCAGAACTGGGGGCTGCTCCCGAATTTGGGGCTGTCCCACCCTCATTTTTGCCCCATTTTAGGAGGTGTGGTTTTTTGGGGGGATCCCCAAATCCGACTGTTTTCACCCCAATTCCAGGTGTTTTCACCCCAATTCCGGCAGTTTTCACACACTGATGGTTCTGAAGGCCGCGATTCCCTCCCGGCCCGTGCACAGCAGCAGCCCCGGGCACTGCGGGTGCCAGTGCAGCTCCTTCACCTCCCTCTCTCCCTGGTGCAGGAACAGCAGCTGGGGGGGCAGCCCCGACAGCCCCTCCCCCTCCCCGGAGCCCTCCCCCCCCTCGGGGTCCCTCTCCACCCCCAGGTCCCACTGGGTGACCAGGTCGTCCTCGCCCGCGGCCGCCAGGACGCCGCTCTCGCTCGGGTGCCACTGCACGGACGTGATGGGCCCGCGGTGCTGCTTGAAGGTGGCCACGCACGAGGAGCTGGTCTGGGAGGGGAGGAAAATGGAGAGGGGGTTGGTGGGGAGGGGTCTGTGGGGTGGGGTGGGGGGTCTGGGGGTGGTTTGGGGGGGTCTGTGGGGTGGGGTGGGGGAGCTATGAGACAGATTTGGGTTGTGGAGGTGGTTTTGGGGGACTATGGGGTGGTTTTGGGGGGCTGGGGGTCAGATTTAGGGTCTGTGGGTTCTATGGGACAGATTTGGGGTGTGGCTTGGGGATTCAGGGGGTGGTTTTGGGGGCTATAGGGTTGGTTATGCGAGTTTATGGGGTGGCTTGGGGGAGCTGTGGGGCAGTTTGGCGTCTGGGGGGGTCCCTGAAGCAGTTTGGGGGTCTTGGACTCTGTTCGGGGGTCTCAGTTTGGGGGTCCCTCAGGCTCTCTTTGGGGCTCCCGGGGCTCCCTCTGGGGGTCCCCGGTGTCCCTGTGGGTCCCCTGGGTCCTTCTGTGGGTCTCTCAGTCTCACTCCGGGCTCTCTCACCCGCACGTTCCTCAGGTCCCAGAGGCGCAGCTCGCCGTCGTCCCCCCCGCTGAGCAGCGCGGCCGCGTCGCGCCGGCTCCAGGTGATGACGTTGACGTCACCGTCGTGGGCCCGGGACAGCGACACCTGGCAGGCCCGGGGGGGAGGGGCACGGATGTCCCACACCCGGATGGAGGCGTCAGAGGAGCAGGAGATGAACACCTGGGGGAGAGGGAAAACAGGTGAGCACAGTCACGTGTGAGTGTGAGCTCACCCAGGTGTGAGCTCAGCCAGGTGTGAGTGTGAGCACAGCCAGGTGTGAGTGAGCTCAGCCAGGTGTGTGTGTGAGCACAGCCAGGTGTGTGTGAGCAGGAGCAGGCTGGGCTGAGCAGAGCTGCCACAGGAGGGTCCCTCACCGAGGCCTCGCTGGGTGACCACTGCAGGTCCTCCACGCTGGCCCCGTGGCCCAGCAGTGGCCGCTGGTCCACGGCCCAGCCGCCCTCGCGCGGCTCCCAGCGATGGATGCGGCCCCGCACGTCCCCGGAGAGCAGCCGGCCTGCAGGGGGAGACATCCCAAAATTCGTGGCTTTATCCAAAATTCCTATCAATAACCCCTCAGAAATCCCAAAATCCGGGATTTATCCCAAATCTGTGTCTGGGGGATCCAGCCTACAAACCCCAAAATCCTGGATTTATCCAAAATGCACATCAATGACCCGCAGAAATTCCAAAATCCTGAATTTATCCCAAATCCATACCAGGGGTCTGGGGGGCTCCTGAACCCCATTTGACCCCCACAAACCCCAGACTCCCCAAAAATTCCCAATCTTTCATTTCCCATCCTTTTCACCTTAAAGATTCTGCCATTTTCTCCTCTCACATTTCACACCATTTTTCTTTTTCCCCTCACATTTTCCACCACTTTCCCCCTCACGTTTCTTGCCACTTTTCCCTCGTGTTTTCTCCACTTTTCTCCCCTCGCATTTCTCACCATTTTCCCCCTCACATTTTTCTTCTCCCCTCACGTTTTCCCGCCATTTTTCTCCCCTCACGTTTCCCCGCCATTTTTCTCCCCTCACGTTTCCCCGCCATTTTCTCCCCTCACGTTTCCCAGTCTTTTTCTTTTCCCTTCACGTTTCCCCACCTGTTTCTCCCTCACGTTTCCCCGCCATTTTTCTTTTCCCCTCACATTTTCCACCAATTCCCCCAAATCCTCAGCTGGGGTCTGGGGGCTCCAAACCCCCTGAGACCCCCATAAACCCCCAGACCCCCCCGAACCCCCCCAAATGCTCACCTGGGGTCTGGGGGCTCCAGTCCAGCCCGAAGCCCTCGTCCAAGTGGCCGCTGAAGGTGGCGAGCTCGGGCAGCGCTCCTTGCTGGACGGTTTTGGGCCCCCTTCCCAAATCCCCCTCCCCAAATTGCCCCCCCAGGACCCCCAGGGCCCTCCCCAAAGCCAGCACCTCCACCTGGCCCCGCTCCGACCACACGGCGGCCACCGGGGACCCCCCGAGGGACGTCACCTGTTGGGAGGGGGACACAAAATAAAAACCTAAAAAACACAAAATTAACTGAAAAGGGGTGAGGGATGGATTTTGGGGGCACCCAAAGGGGATTTGGGAGGGTCACAGGTTTATTTGGGGGGTCCTGGGGGGGACTCAGGAAGAGGAAAGGGTTTTTTGGGGGGGATCCCAGGGGGGATTTTGGGGTTCCAGTGAGGTTTTTGGGGGTTCCCAGGGTGGGTTTTGGGGGTTCCCAGAGGAGTTTTTGGGGGTTCCCAGGGTGAATTTTGGTATTCCAGAAGGGTTTTTGGGTACCCAGAGGGGTTTTTGGGGTTCCAATGGTGATTTTTGGATGTCTCAGAGGTTTTTGGGGTTCCCAGGGTGGGTTTTGAGGATTCTCAGAGGGGTTTTTGGGGGTTCCCAGAGGTGTTTTGGGGTTCCAATGGCGATTTTTGGATGTCTCAGAGGTTTTTGGGGTTCTCGGGATGATTCCCCAGGTGTTTTTTTTTTTAGGGGAGGGGTCCATACCCGCAGCCTGTTGATCCCCCCATAGTGGGGGGCCATGACGAGCAGGAGCTGCGGCTCCCGGTCCTCCCCCTCCTCGTCACTGTCACTGTCACTGTCGCTGTCACTGTCACTGTCCCTGGCACTGCCCTTTCCCCTCCTCAGCCCGTGCAGGTTCTGCATCTGCAGCAGCAGCACCCTAAAGGGGGAAAACACCCAAAATCAGGCGGGGGGGCACCCCAAAAACACGGGAGTGACCCCAAAACGCACCCAGGGGTGAGAGGAGGGAGGGAATTGGGGGGAAACACCCGAAGTCAGGGGTGGGGACACCCCAAAAACAGCCCAGACCATCCCCGGAGTGAGGGGAGGGAGAGAATTTGGGGTGCCCAAAATAGGGGAAGATCCCAAATGGGGGAGGGGAAATGGGGGGGGCTCAAGGAGGGTCCTGAGTGAATTTTGGGGAGGTTTCAAGAGGGTTTGGGGGACGTTTTGGGGGTCAGGATGAATTTGGGAGGGGCTCAGAGGAATTTGGGGAGGATCAGGACAAATTTTGGGGGCTCGGGGGATCAGGAGGAATTAGGGGGGGGGGTGCCGGGGGTCTCTCACCGGTTGGCTCCGGGGGTCTCGGCCTGCGTGCCCGCACAGAGCAGCACCGAGAGCGGCGGCTCCTCCCGGCCCTCCCCCAGCCCGTCCCGCACCACGTCAAAGCTCAGGCACGGCGACCCTGAGGGGAGGGGGCAGTCAGCGACCCCCCAAAACCCCCCCAAAATCCCTCGGGAATCCCGAAATCACCCCCTCAACCCCTCCCCAAACTCGGCACTCCCCTAAAAAGCCCCAAAACCCCTCAGAGCTCCCCCCAAGCCCCCCGACCACGACCCTCCCCCAGTCCCCCAGTCCCTCTCCAAACCCCTCCCAGCCCGCCACTGCTCTTTTCTCATTTTTCGCACCTTTTTTTTTCTCTCGCGTTTCCCACTCTTTTCACCTCTGACATTTCTCCCCTCACGTTTCCCGCCCTTTTCCCCCCCCCCCCCTTCCCCCCCCTCCCCCCCCCCCCCCCCCCCCCCCCCCCCCCCCCCCCAGTGACCTCCCAGTACCTCCCAGTAATTCCAGTGGCATTCCAGCCCCCTCCAGGACCCCTCATCTCCCTGCAGGACCCCCGGTTTTCCCCTCAGCCCCCCGGTACCGGTGCCGGCGCGGTGATACATCACGTAGGCCTCCTCATCCATCACTAGCTCCTCGTCAGGGCCCAGCGGCGGCCCCGCCCCGGGCAGGTACACGCGGCCCGGGGGCTCCGCATCCGCTCTGTCGCGATTGCGGGCCCGGGGCCGGTCGCGATTCGAGGCTCTGAGGCGATTAGGGGCACGGCGTTTGGAGGAGCCGCGCCGCGTCGCCATCTTGGCCGTGAGGGGAGACAGAAATTCCGGCGGGTGCTCCGCCCACTTCCGGCTGATGGCGAGTAACTTCCGGTCACGTGACAGCGTGTAGCGGTCGGGCGGTTCCGGTGTCTCCCCAGTGACCTCCCAGAGCCACCAGTGACCCCCAGTGACCTCTCAGTCCCCCCAATCCCCTCCCAGTCCATCCCATTTCCCTCTCAGTCCATCCCAGTTTGTCCCAGTCCCCTCGCAGTCCATCTCAGTCCATCCTAATCCCTTCCCAATTCATCCTAATCCCATTCCAGCCTCCTCCCAGTTCATCCCAGTCCCTCCCAGTGCCCCCCAATCCCCTCCCAGTCCCTCCCGGTGCCCCACAGTTACCCCCAGTCCCCTCCCAGTCCCTCCCAGTTTCCCCAGTAAATCCCAGTACATCAGTGGGGGGATTCTCTCAGCTCTTTATTGGGGGGGGAGGGGCGGGCCCGGTTCCTCCCTCACCCCTCCCCCCCCAGCAGCTGCCCCAGTTCTCCCAGTGCCTCCCGGAGCCGCTGCGAGAACAGCCGGGGGTCCTGGGGGGAGGGGCGGGGGTCAGGACCCCCCAGATCCCCTCCGCCAGACCCCCAAAATCTCTGGGGGGGGGGAAGGGGGGATTTGGGATATTTGGGATTTTTTTGGGGGGGTTTGGCCCCTCCTCCACTCACCGTTTTTGGGGACCCCTCCCTGCAGGAGATGTGGACGAGGACGGGGTCGCTGTCCCCTCCCCCCGTGAAGGATACCCCGTACCCGTCCTGGTGGGGCTGGGGGAGATCAGTGACAACCAGTAACTCCCAGTAATTCCCAGTAACCCCCCAGTCCATCCCAGTGCCCCTAAGTCCATCCCAGAAAAGCCAGAAACACCCCAGCACCACCCAGTGCCCCCGCAATCCCCTCCCAGCAACCTCCCAGTAACTCCCAGTCTATCCCAGTGCCCCCCAGCACCCTCCCAGTCCATCCCAGTCCCTCCCAGTACTCACCGGGTTGAAGCCCCACCCCGCGGGCCGCAAGGGGTGGGGCAGCAGTGGGGGGTGTGGCCGGGGGGCGGGGCTAAAGGCCAGAGCCCAGGGCTGCCCCAGCACCTGGGGGTGATGATATGCAAATGAAGCCACGCCCACAGCCACGCCAAATCAGTGTCACTCTCTTTAGGCCACGCTCTTCTGTGGCCACACCCCATTGACCATATTTAGATTTGGCCACACCCACCTCCACATAGGGCAACTCCTAGTCAAGACCCGCCCCCACGAAGCCCCACCCACCTCTGTCAGGAAGGGTGGGCGGAGCTGCATCTGATTGGCCACGGCCGCCAGCGCCTGCAGGTGCCGCTCCAGCCCCGCCCCCGTCATGGCCGCCCTGCGCCGCGCCCGCGCCTGCGCCAGCGCGGCCTCCAGCAGCGCCCGCCGGCGCCCCCGCTGAGGAGAGAGCGGCTGCACGTCAGGGGGACCCCCCGGGACCCCCAAAGATCGCCCCAAACTCTGCCCGGGTCCTGCTTCAGCAGCACCCGCCATTGTCCTCTTGTCCTCGTGGTTTTCATCTTTTTTTCCCCTCACGTTTCCCGCCCTTTTCCCCTCACGTATTTTGCCATTTCCTCCTCACGTTTCCTGCCATTTCCTCTCCCTCATGCTTCCCGCCATTTTTCCCCTCACATTTCTCGCCACTTCTCCCTCGTTTCCTGATATTTTCCTCCCCACACGCTTCCCACCATTTTCCCCTCATGTTTTTCACCAGTTTCTCCTCGTGTTTCTCGCCATTCCTCACCTCTTCCATCCTTTATCCTTCACATTTCCCACCCTTTTTCCTTCGCATTTTCCACCCTTTTCCCCTCACATTTCCTGCCCTTTTCCCCTCACATTTTTCACCATTTTCCCCTCACATTTCCTCCCATTTCCCCTCCCTCACGTTTCCCTCCATTTTCCCCTCATGTTTCCCACCCTTTCCCCCTCACATTTCCCGCCCTTTTCCCCTCACATTTTTCACCATTTTCCCCTCCCTCACATTTCCCTCCGTTTTCCCCTGTTTCCCACCCTTTCCCCCTCACATTTCCTACCTTTTCCCCTCACATTTCCCGCCATTTCCCCTCCCTCACATTTTCCGCCATTTTCCCCCTCATGTTTCCCACCCTTTCCCCCTCACATTTCCCGCCCTTTTCCCCTCACATTTTTCACCATTTTCCCCTCCCTCACATTTCCCTCCGTTTTCCCCTGTTTCCCACCCTTTCCCCCTCACATTTCCTACCTTTTCCCCTCACGTTTCCTGCCCTTTTCCCCTCACATTTTTCACCATTTTCCCCTCACATTTCCCGCCATTTCCCCTCCCTCACATTTTCCGCCATTTTCCCCCTCATGTTTCCCACCCCCCAAATTACACCCCCAGCGAATCCCCCAAACCCAAGAGCCCCCCCCTCGTTGACCCCTCAGCATCCCCCAGCCCCATTTTCGGGTCCCCAGCCCCATTTTCGGGGTTTCTCACGGGGGTTTGGGGGTCCCGCAGGGCGCGTTCCAGCTCCAGCAGGGGGCGCCCCACGCCGCGGGCGCCATCGGCGCGGCCCTCGAGGAAAAGGCGCGTCGGGATCGGCTCGTACGTGAGGGCAGGGCCCCGCTCCTGAGGGCAGGGGGGGAAAATTGGGGGATTTGGGGGTCTCTAGGATGGATTTGGGGTCTCTAGGATGGATTTGGGGTCCCTAGGATGGAGTTTGGGGTCTCTAATACGGAATTTTGGGGTCTCTGTGATGGAATTTTGGGGTTTCCGTGATGGAATTTTGGGGTGAATTCAGGGGTCTCTAGGGTCGAATTCTGGGGTCCCTGGGGTGGAATTCTGGGGTGAAATTTAGGGTTTTCTAACATGGTATTTTGGAGTGTCTGGGATGGAATTTTAGAGTGAATTTGGGGTCCCTAGGGTGTAGTTTTGGGGTGGATTTTGGGGTTTCTAACACGGTATTTTGGGGTCTCTAGGATGGAGTCTGGGGTCTCTAATATGGAATTTTGGGGTGTCTGTGATGGAATTTTGGGGTGAATTCTGGGGTCCCTAGGGTGGAATTTTGGGGTGGATTTTGGGGTTTCTAACACGGTATTTTGGGGTCTCTAGGGTGTAATTCTGGAGTCCCCTAGGGTGTAATTTTGGGGTGCACTCGGGGCTCTCACCCTGACCAGGGCCAGCTCCAGTGCCAGTGGCAGCAGCTCCTGCAGGATCTCGGGGGGTCCCGGGGGCGTCTGCAGTGACACCACGTGGAGCTGGAGCCCCTGAGCCATGGCCTGGAACTGCTGCAGGGCCTGGGGCAGCACCCCCGAAACCTGCCCCAAAACACCCCAGAGACATCCTAAAAATCTCCTAACAACATCCCAGAAATACCCTAAAAACATCCCCCAAAAATACCCCCAAAATATCCCAAAAATATCCTAAAAATCTCCTAACAACATCCCAAAAATATCCTAAAAACATCCTAGAAACACCCTAAAAATACCCCCAAAAAATCCCAAAAACATCCTAAAAATATCCCAAGAGCATCCCAAAATAACCCCAAAACATCCCAAAAATATTCCAAAAAATGCACAAAAAATCCCCTAAAAACTCAAAAAAATCCCCAAAAATCCCCCAAAAATCCCAAAAAATCCCCAAAAATTTCCCCAAAAAAATCCCCAAAATCCCCCAGAACCCCCAAATTCCGCCCCCCACCCCCGGTACCTGCGGGGGGAGGTCCCAGAGCAGCTCCTGGGGGGGCTGGGGGGCCCCGCCCCTCCCCCCCCCGCGACAATTCCCGGATTTGTCGTAGCCCAGGGAGAGCTCCAGGGCCAGGGCAAACTGGGGGGGCAAAATTGGGATTAATTAAACAAAATTCGGGGTTAATTACCCAAAATTCGGGGTTAATTACCAAAAAATCGGGATTAATTACCCAAAATTCAGGATTAATTACCCAAAACTGGGGATTAATTACCCAAAATTCGGGGTTAATTACCCAAAACTTTGGGGTGTTTTTGGGCTATTTTGAGGATATATTTGGGGTGGTTTTGGGGTTATTTTTGGGTTATTTTTGGGGGTGTTTTGGGGGCGTTTTTGGGGTTATTTTTGGGGTGTTTTGGGGGTTATTTTTGGGTTGTTTTTGGGGTGGTTTTGGGGTTCTTTTGGGGTGTTTTTTGGGCGTTTTTGGGGTGTTTACCTCCCAGAGGTGCCCCGCCACGGGGGGGTCTCCCCACGAGTGCTCCACGCTGAGCCCCACCCGCCCCGAGGGGAACACGACCAAGGTGAGCGACTTGTCGAACCACCTGGGGGGAAAGGGGGGCTCCAAAATCCCAAAAAAAACCCCAAAATCCCACCCTGGGACCCCCCAAAAAATCCTGGGACCCCCCAAAATATCCCAGACCTCCAAAATATCCCCCAAAACCCCTCCCAAGAACACCCAAAACTCCCCAAAACAGCCCCAAAATCCCACCCTGGACCCCCCCACATTTCCCTCAACCCCCCCCCCAACCCTCCCAAAATCCATCCTGGGGTTCCTGGGTTGGGTTTTGGGGGATTTGGGGGCGATTTTGGGGGGTCCCTGATCGGTTGTGGGGGGAACTGGGGACTCCCAGGGGGGTTTTGGGGTAATTTTGGGTGATTTTGGGGTAATTTTGGGGTCTCTCACCTGTTGTGGGGGGGTCCCAGCAGCAGAGCCTTGGCCTCCCTGTCCAGGTCCCCGTCCCGGGGGGGGTC